CGCATATATGTATATATACCACGTCCGTATGGGCTGCACAAGCCAAACCACGCTCATCACAGCTTGCCACAGTGTGGCTCCTGGCAGTGGTAAGCCATTCTTGGTGTACCAGCTCACAGCAGGGCCGTTTGATCACGATTGTTACACGGCGTGAAAAATCAAGTATTTGCGAGATATAGTACAGCCCTTAGGAGGAGGAAGAGGCTGGCTGGCAGTGCTGTATGCCGCCGAGGGGCAGTTTTGGGGTGCTGACCCACGCCCAGGGGGCTGCAGAAGGCGTCCGCAGCCGGGACAACCCGCCCCCCCAGCCAAGGCCGGTCGAAGCCCACTTGAGTGCAGCCATGAGGAGTCCTCTTGGTGCTCCTGGCGGCCGTTGGAATGGCGAGCGCGCGCCGAGGGGGGGGGGGGGGGGTCTTGCTTGCTCCACACCGAGCGCCATCGGTCCGGACCGGCGTGGTCACCGAGGGGTGGCCTGCACAAGGTCTGAGCCGCGGGCGCTCGGCGCCAAGTGCAGTGTCACGCTCGCGCTGGAGCGGGACACAATGGGAAACCCTCGTTTCCTATGAACTCGGTCCCCCAACGGAAGAGGCCTCGCTCCTATTGGAACTGGCCAACATCAGATTTGCCTCGTGCGTCCCTTTTTGAGCCGGAAAGCTATTTTCTTTTGGGTCCTGTGGGCACCCTAGCTAGTGCTAGTCCCCATCGTGAGGACGACGACCCCGGCTAGTCGCCGACCACACCCACAAAGAACCCTGCACAAAGATCGCACGGACGGGTTTCCTTTTTTTAAATTGAACTCGGGGCAGCACACGGAGAAGGGGCAACTCCGTGCACTGAGAGACGGTCGGCCGCCAGAAAACACGCCTGCGTGGAGCGCGTCACACCAATCCTCGCTACCCAACGCGGCCAAAGGATATCCACCTCGAGAACCTCGAGAACACGGGACGCGGCACAAACGGTTTGCGCATTTGATGTATTTCTTGTGTCGACTTTGCGTGTGCTCGTGCGTCCCACCGCCAGTCCTGTCGGCCACCGGCTGTGCAGGCCGCGCGTCTCGATGCCGCAAGGCCGGGGCAGGCTCCACAAGGACTACTCCAATGGCGCGTACGAAGGCGAGCTGCTGGATGGCAAACCGCACGGCCGCGGCAGGCGCCAAAGGCCGCGGGGCTGCCACCTCTGCTCTTGTCGCTGTCGCCACTGCCAGACGTC